GCTGGTGAAAAGCCTGGAACACAAGTCTTATGAGGAGCTGTGGGGAGTTTGGGGTTCATAAGTTGTGACAGAAGTTGTGGGGAGCTGGGGGTCAGCCTCTTCTCGCACATAACTAGCGATAGGACTAGAGGGAATGGCCTCAAGTTGCACCAGGGCACGTTCAGTTTGGAAATTAGGAGACTTCTCAGAAAGAGTAGTCAGACATTAGAATGGGTTTCCCAGTGAGGTGGTGGAATCACCATCTCTGGGGGTGTTCAAGGAAAGGTTGGGCCTGGCACTCAAACTATATAATACGGATCAGATTGAATTAATGATAATCTCTTCACTTGATTGAATTGTGTGTGAATTCTTGTGGGAAATTTATGCAAATCCACATTTAACTGGGAGAGATTTTATCTTTTTTTCATCATATCTGTAAATATCCACTTCTTTTCTACTATTATTATTAATTTGAAGAGTGAATAAAATAAAATTAATATGTCTGTTCCCTGATAGTTACGTAGTAGAAATAAAATTCAGCTATGTTTTCATAAATGCAACTAACTCATTAATTTATAGTGCTTTTTAAATAAGTAGTGGTTAAGCAGTTCTTGGAGCTAACAATGCTGGATTTCTTCTGCTATTTCAAGTGTGGCCTTGGGCAAATCACCTCCCCATGCCTTTCAATCTCCACCCAGAAAAAAAGGACTAATAATACTTATCTGCCTCAGAGGTGGTATTAGGCTTAATTCATTACTGTTTGTAAAAGCTGATAAACATCTAGTTTCCAGGGTACACATTATCACTAATAGATTAGCTCCTATTAGATACACTATATGAGTTCAAGCTCCCTACAATACTGTCATTTAACTGGAGCTAAACAACTGTGACTGTCAACTGCAAAATGTCAGGAAATACTTTCCTTTTAATTTTCAGCCTGCAGGAAAAATATGAACTTTGCATGGATCTCTCTCAAGAAAATGTTGTTCCCAACAAATAATTCATTTTTTTTTCTACATGCTGATCCTTACAAATAGCTCTGACATCCTCACTTTTATGAAGTTCAACACTATACATAACATGAACCATGTCAGACACAGTAAATGAAATATATATTATTGTGTCAAAAATGCAGATTTGATTCTTGACAAGAGATAAGGGTTAAAAAATAAATACATCATTGAGGTGAAACTGTAACACACAAATTAATCTCCTGTCCCCTAAAAATATAATATAATTTCTTAGCAACTGCCAGAGGCACTATCGTGTAATTTCTGGTCACAAGGTGGTATGAGACTAAACTGAAAGAGTGTGATTCAGCCACCCTGTAAGGAACTGTAGAGATCTGATGATTACCTCCAAGTACGGAAGTCAAAATGGAAGGTAAATTGGGATGTGTGATTCCAACTGCAGTAAGAATAGGGATTTTAATGGAGCTAGAGGATAAAACATTTCTTTAAAAGAGATAGAGAATAATTTACATGCTGAATTCAAGGGAATTTGAGTCTTTGAGGAGAATAATGTGATGACAGACAGGAGCAAGTAGTAGAAGAAACAAAATTTAATGGAGGATGACAAGATTTAGTCAACTCTACTACAGACTTGCAGACAACTTGTATGTGTTATATGCACTGTGAGTATGACTCCTAGGTAACAGGTCTTTGAGTGTAAGTGCATCACGACAACTCTAGGGAAACTCTAAGTTTAACCAGAGCTCAGTAAAATTGTGGTCAGTAAATGAAATCTTTACTCTGAGGGGCATAATTGTCCAGCATCTGCTGAGCTCAAAACTTAATAGGATATATGATCCAATAACATCCATTTGTCCCAGAAGAAGATAGTCAAAAATTTCCATCTTGCCTTCTACACTGTGCTTGCAGATCCTCAGAGAACACATTGGCTGACAGCGAGTTCCTGCAAATATTAAAAATAAAAATATCTATCTCATAATTAAACTATAAAGGTTTAATCATTGGGTTTAGGCAGGAGTCACTTCTTGCTTCACAAAGCCAGATAAATGTTGAATCAAGAGATAAAGTGAATAGTTTTACATGGATATAGCAATTAATTGCAGATTAAGTGGTAGTCTGTTGAATAGCTTCATTCCCAGATCATTAGAGGAGGGAGGCTAATGTACTTTAAAGTCATGTAACTAAATAATAATGCCTTCAGATGTGTATTTACTATGAAATGCAACAACTTTGAGTACTCAGCATCAGGCATGTAGCAAAGCCTTGATAAAGTGCCTTGATAAAGATATTGATATTTATCTAGAGTAGACTCAGGCTTTACTCAAGACCACTACAGATTACTAAATCTAGTAATCATGGAAGAACTGTCTGCACTTGAATAATTGAGTCTGGGACCTTACTATAGACTGGTTATTGGGGTGAATTGCAATGTGAGTTTCAGCTGACTGAAGTTGCAGACGGTGTCTAATTCTTTCCTAGACATGTTAGGTATCATCTGGGTCACAAGGACCTTTTATGAACAGGAAAACAACTAGGAGTAATTGCCCCAAAAAATAAAAAAATAAAAAAAAAAAAAAATAATAAAAAAGATGCAGACTAACTCTGACAGACCTGCTCAAAAGATAAATATAGCTATAGTGAATTTTCTCTTCTTCCTTCCTTCCTTCCTTCCTTCCTTCCTTCCTTCCTTCCTTCCTTCCTTCCTTCCTTCCTTCCTTCCTTCCTTCCTTCCTTCCTTCCTTCCTTCCTTCCTTCCTTCCTTCCTTCCTTCCTTCCTTCCTTCCTTCCTTTCTTTTTCTTTCTTTCTTTCTTTCTTTCTTTCTTTCTTTCTTTCTTTCTTTCTTTCTTTCTTTCTTTCTTTCTTTCTTTCTTTCTTTCTCTTTCTGTACATATCTCAAACTTTCAACTCTGTAAATTTGTCTTCTGGTTTACTTCCTGGTACCTTGACCAGGGAACCTTAACAACGATGTGGATCATGTAGTTTTTGGTGTTTTGTCAAATTAGCTATTTGTTCACACTGTTTGTATGGTATTTCTGTCATGGGTTTTCTCCTCTGAAACAAAATCTGTGTGTTTCTGGGAGTATAAACATTTCAGAGATTCTTTACTGTAAGCAGTGTAGATAAAATAACATCAGGCTCAGCTCCCACTGTTCAAATGGGAACAGCTCCCAGTCCATATGCTGTATACCACTCTAGTGAGCTGCATAATAGACATCTTACTAATACAAGTACTTGAAGATAACAATCACAAAAATAAAAAATAAAAAATAAAAAATAAATAAATAAATCACAAATCATGTCATAGGACCCACACACAAATTATCCTGTGTGGATGTGGTCAGCCAGATCTGGTGGGTGGTAGCCCTGAAAAGTGCGAGACAAACTGATTCATACTATATTGCATGGGACCAGAAATCATTCTTCGGAGTGAATGATGCCATTACTAGCGATGAACCCTTCTTAACTCCTGCCTTGTCTTAATGTTTTCTAACACAGACACAGTCTGATATGTAGCAAATGCAAACTGCAGAGCCCAAAGCAATGTCATGAAGAAGCTGCCAGTGACAGGGCAGATGAGGCCCCAGTGATATCCAGCACCAAGGCAATCTCACTGACTCTGGACTTCAGAGATTGGGATCACTTTTTGCCCCAAATTTCACATGGGCATAGATCACCTAGAAGGGCTACCCAGCTCCTGCCATTAGATATAATTTTCACAGTTTGGTCTAAATGGCAGATGGGCTAGCCATGCAAAATATTATAATAGTGCCACTCAGAAAAGTGACATAAAGATGATTTTAAGTTATTCTGTAGTCTGAATTCTGTTTGGTTTTGTTCTGCCATACCTGCTCTCAAGAGTCAAACACAGAGTGCAGTGACAGAGAACTTAATCCAGCTTGGTTTATTTATACCTGAAAAGATGCAGGCAGTTTTAGGAAAATATAAGTTTAAATTTTTCAGTAAGGAAGACTGAATTCATCAAAGAACTATCTTCCCCTCAGTTTCTCATCTGGTACATGGATTCTGGTGAAGATAACAAAAAAACATATTGCATACCTATTTGAAATTACACATTTCCTATCACAAAGAATGCAATGTTTTTGCACTGACCTAACATTCCACAATGAGCATTTTTTCTTTTCTTTTTTTTTTTCAGAGCAAGAATTCTGTTTTTCATTCCTATCACGTTCTTCACATTTCATTTAATGAAAAATACTTCCACAATGTTCCAACTAATAACTGATTAAACCAGTAGAAGAAACACATTTTTTTGTTTATTTTCTTTTCTGACAACCTGTGACTATACAGACATAAGGTACTCTACCTTCCTTTGAAATGTCATTATTCATGAGTATGAGCTTCTGCTTCTAATTTAAATACTCAAGACTTCTACCATTTTATTTTTGTTTTCAAATGACTTCTGTATTACAGTTTGTTTTGGGGGCATTTTTCATATCAGCAGGGTAAGATTAGCATTGACATTTGTCATGAGCTATTGAAGAGACAGCAGGAATGCAGTGTTAATGTTGATAGCAGTTTTCGATTTCCATCATACCAGCCTCAGAGCTCCTGCTGACATTATAACACTAACTCAAATATTAACATAAAATATTGAAAATACCATATGGATGCTGTTTGTGAATACTTGCTGTGAATGCTGAAGAGATGTTTTGCTCACAATAAATATTTATAACACTGTATGAAATGGCACAGACATTAACTGTAAAAAAGAACTTTCATCATAGCATTGAAGATGTGGCAAAGCCCTTCATTTAGTGAAAGCACATTAAAATGCAGCAATAGTCTTCACTATTCTGAATATGAACAAGTCTCTTAGGCCTATATTCTGGTCTCACTGAAGTTGAAGGTAAAACATCCCTTTGTATTTGTTGGAGAGAAATGGGTCTTTACAAGCGTAATATGTTTTACAGTTGTAGACATTCTAGAGGTCAGTAAGTAGGTTAAAAACTGTAATTTATTTATTTATTTATTTATTTTTACTTAGTCAATAAATGACACAGTCTGATGAGGATCTATTCTCATTTCAGTAAAGACAGTATGTTGTCATCTGTGTGAACCACAATCTCCTTTTCAAAATCGGAAAAACAACAACAACAAAAAAACACCCAACAATTACTTCCTCACAATGTTTCTGTAAGCATAAATTTCAAGGTTAGTATGGCATTGGCACACTATTCATGTGGTACAAAACACAGCTGTTCAATTGATTCTTTCTTTTTCCAACCCAATGTTCACAGATTTGTGAGTACGGTGATACAAGCCTCGTTGCAAAGGATTACCCTAGCCAAGCTGCAAAACTTCAGTGCTACCTATCACAGATGGAAGACTGATGCCAACATAACCTTTACATCTGGGAAACTGAGATAATGTGAAATATAAAAGGACTGGCTAGTGCAAGGGGTCCAGACTCCAAACATTACTGGATTATGGAAATACCTTATCTACAATGCCTGATCTCTTTTCTAAACTTAGGAGCCAGGTTCCTGAACTAAGGTATTTATTTAGCTTTTTGTTTTCTTAATTAATAAAAAAATAAAGAGAGAAAAAAGAATAAAGAATAAATTAAAAAAAAAAAAAAAAAAGAAAGAGAGAGAGAGAGAAGAACTTCAGAAATAGAAGTGATGCTGCAAGCCCAGTCTTCCTTCTATTCTGGGTATGTTATTGTTATGCTTAGGCTCTTGTTTCATGTAGGAAAACCTGGGGATATTGTACCTTAAATCTGCTATATTTCTTTTTAAACAGGGCAGGAAATGCACCCAGTAGTACCACTACTCAAATTCTGCTGCTGGGAATGATGTTCTGCACCTTGAACTGTGGAAATGGTGATAACTAACCCTTTTATTCTACTGCTGATATAATTTAGTTAGTCTGACTGTTTACTGAAATGATTTCTGTGAACATTATGAACCGTTATCCTGGAGCTAGTAACATTTCGTGCACCTGTATCTGCTCTTTGGATTCCTGTTAGGCACACATATCCCTTTGAATCTCTTTATATAAACACATGTGTATGAAAATCATAATTGTTTTACAGATACATGTTTGCCCTCATCAAAATTTGAGTCCTATGCTGGTGTGAATCTGGCATGTTGCATCCTTTTGTGTGAGCCTGGGAGCACTGGTTAATCTAACACAGACTCATGCAGGAAGCTGTGGCCAGAAGTTGCTCTAGAGTACTGCTTCTGCAGAAATCTATGTTCTTACTAATGCAAAATTCAGAGAAGTAACTTAGGAAAATTGAAGAAAGCCACTAACACTAACAGACAGAAAGCAGTCACAGTGACACACAAACACTTCTTTTTCACTGCAAGGATTTCCTACTGATAGCCTTCTCCCATGCAGAATGACTCTATCATTACATTAGCAGAAATTTTGCCATAAAGAACCTACTCACCTAATTTAAATACAGTATAATTTACTTTATTTTTATTTGAGCCTCAGATTACCCTAGAAGCATAAAATATCTCAGAAACATGTTGTTTATTTGTGTTTAAGCTTATAGAACAGTGTAGCCCGTTAGCACATATATAGAGTAGATCTATCAAATGAGAAATAGACATAAGGCCCATTAATGATAATGTGAGCTCTGTGCATGAAAGTGTGAAACAAAACACTTTTGCTTGCTTTTGGAAGTATTTTTTTTCTATATTAAGTGAAAAGCCTCTAAAACAATAGGAATGCTTAAGCCCAGCTCTCTAAATATGTAGTCAAACCAATATAAATATGATTTTGTTTAAAAGAATACATTTGGGCTGACAACCAGTGAGCTGTGGCTCAGCGATAAACCTTGGCAAATGGGGTTTATAATGGAAACACTGACAGATTCCCTGCCCTCACAGCACTATCGTTATCTATTGCATTGCACATTAAACACACGTATCACCTGATAAATACATAGCATGTTAAATCTGATAAAACTTTTACTGAATCAAACAGACAAGGAGTTGAACATGATAAACAAGCTCCTTTATCTGATCCATCAGTTTCAGAAACAGATAAGTAAACAACTGAACATGATACAGTATATCACTGTCATGTGATTAAGGTCACCCCTTGGGAATTGCCATCCTCAGAGCAAAAGCTGTGATTTAAAAATCTATCCATGAGGTTTTATGTATATATTTTTACTTAAGATAACAAACTTTAATAAGTAAACTTTGTGAATTGACTAATTTTCAGCTAACATTGAAAATATAAGGAGACTCCTGCATTAGCAGTACTCAAAAGAGCATGCATGTACTCACCTCTTTCAAAATAGACAATTCCTTTATACAGAACTATTTATTCATTTTAGCATATATGTTAATTTTTAGTTATTTATTTATTTCAAGGATATCCCAGAAAACGGAAGCTAGCTAGACCAGGAATTAATTTGGCCAAAAGACAGATCTTCATAGGATGGAGTGAAAATTATTTCATTAAACTTATGACAGCATGGTTGTTCCTGGTGGAAGAAGCTATTTTATGGGTTCAGTTCTGCAGGAGTGTGGAAAGCTGCAGTAAGAGATGAGTAGATCTGCCGGCAGGATACTGAGGAGGATATGTTGTTAAATGTGATAGGAAGGTGAGCAGATTAGGTACTGCAGTTTGGTTTGCAATAGAGAATAGTGTGCTGATTACATGTCATGTGAGGCTAAACTGTTGGATGTGAGAGTTAATATTTCATGGAAACCATGGAAGCCTGTTCTGTGTGTAGCCAAGTTTCATGTATTTCTGTGCTTTTTTTTTTTTTTTTTTCTGAATGCATTTCTCAAGTACACTTGAATAAGCCACTGGTTTTACCTGGTACCAGGATCAAATGAAAATACTTTACCTAGCTGCTGTGCATATCAGTTCTGCACATTGGATTGTACTTTAAGTACCTGTGTTCTAGCCATACTCTTTTTTTCTGCATATCACAGTCACCATCTCCCTCGGTCATTGATGTTCAGAGCTGATTAACTGCAATTTTGGAGCATGGCAGCCAGACTCCAGGACATCCAGAATCATGCCTCTGTCTCTGGTGAGCAACTGGTCCCCAGAGCAAGGTGAAAAAATCATCTGCATGGATCATTACAGATGGAACTAACCACAGGGAGAATGTCTGATTTTCTTACATGTCATTTAATGCCTTGATATATATTTTCATATCTATTTTTATCATTAGATATTTTGTTAATAATCCTATACCTATTGAGTCCTGGTAAACTGTCACTTCAATTCTCTCAGAAAAGTGAGAAAAAATATGAAAAAAAAAAAATGCATATTTCTTTTCCTGTATGAATGTGTGCCCCTAAATTTCTTTGAGAGCCCTCAGGGAAAAAAAAAAAAAAAAAAAAAAAAAAAAAAGTTATCTGACTTTTAAACATTGATTAATACTTTTTCTTTCATTTGTAGTTTTGTAGTTCTCTAGTTTGGTTTTCTTCAGAAGTTTTTGGATTTTAGCCTCTGTTACCTCTAATGTTTAATGTATTTTCTCATGCAGTTTCACAGTATTAAAAAAATGCCAAAAACAGACTATTTTCATATAAGTACAAAGTTGATTCATTTTATAAAAATCCTTTGAAAATTGAAACTCTACTATTTACTCAAAAATACTTTGGAATTTTACTTTTATTTTGCATCATTTTATGATTATAAAAAAAAAAAAAAAAGCTGTTGTGTTACTTTGAAGAGCCTCCTTTCAATCCTCTTCCATATAGAATCTAATTGGATGGACAACCTGACAAAGAGATATTTAGCCTGAGAGCTTGACAGTATCTGACAAGGTCAGAGTCCACCACTCAAGCTTTTCTTGTTTAGTCTTGTAATAATTTATTCTGTTTTTCTTCTTTAACCATAAAATTTTTTTGGTGTAAAAGATAACCCATAAAACAGGTGTCTCAATTGCATGAAATAAAATAAGGAAAAAATCTAGACAAAGACATTCACTCTTCTCCAACCTATTAAAGAATACTTTCCTTGTAAATATGAACAAATGGACACTTTTCTTACATCCATTTAAAATAAAAATCTGCATATAAAAATTCCTGAATATCAAGAATCTAAACTCTCTAGGTATATATTTCCCTCTTAACTCCTCAGATTTACAGGTTCTTCCTATTTTTATTTATTTATTTATTTATTTAAGAAGGAAGTTTGTTTTTGTTTATTTCATTGGCACCTCCTCCTCCAAGAGGTTTCCTAAAATCATTCCCTCTGGAGTAGCTGTGGATGAGGATGGTTTAACTAGATTAGCAACAACCCACCTAAGAAGCAGGATACAGCAGTGGGCAAAGGTGTAGGATGTAGAAGAAGGGCCACCTTCAACCTAAGGATGTGTATGCTCCTGGGATAAGCAAAGCCATAGGAAGAATTGAAGCTTTCCAAAGCAGTTTTTAACACTCATTTTGAATTCATCTTTAAGTATTCATCTTTAAGAGATGCTTCATAAAACAGCTGCGAGTGTACCAGCTGCTTGAAAATGGACTGAAATTCTTCAAGCACAGCCCAAAATCTGAATCTCAATGTGTGAAAACATATTTAATATTCAATTAAGCTTTTTCTTGGATTATTTCTACAAACCTGTTCGGAGGCTGTATCTTCACAGCTGATTTTTAACTCTGATTTCTGCATCTGTTTCCAATCCATCCCATAAGTGTTAACATCAAGTTTTCATTAGTTGTGGCTGTCTCTTTTATTCAACCTTCAGAAAAAAAGAGTGTCTATACCAATGATTACTCATTGAAGTAAATAGAAACTCTGTTGCTGGTTTTATTCTGTTTTGGATCTAGCTATAAATTTTCATTATTTTTCTGGAGACAATATTTTTAGATACTAAAAAAAAAAATCCATAGATCTGCATACAGCTGCCTCTTTTCTCATCACTGATGGCTTTATTATGTTTGGTATCCAACATAATATCAAACTGAATACCTCTCTCCCGTCTTTTATGTTACAGTGTGTAGCTTACTCAAATCTAAATAAATAAATAAATTTATGCCTCTTAAATTTTTCATATCCTCTTTTTTATTTTCATGGAAGTAGGGTCATGGCATTCATTATAGGCTAGATTACTAGGTGTTACAGAGAAAATCAATTTTCAACAGAAAAATAATTCAAAAGAAGTTATTCTTATGTGGATATTTGCATCTCTAATTTGCAGGGACTTGTCCTCTCTATCAAAAGGGACCCATGATGCAGACAGAAAAGCAGTGTTAAGTGTATGAGCACTTCTTATCTGTCCAGCATATATTTCTGCAGTCTTTGTCACCCTAGTTCTGAATGAGAGACAGCACTTCACTGTACAGAGGGAAAGGGGAGCTTCACTAGTTCATAAGAAAAAGTAAAGGCAGCTGCCCATCACATAGAAACAATTTCTTTTGAGTTGTTGCTACTGAGAAGAAGGGATTGTGTGAGAGAAGCGTGTCTCAATGATAAGCGAATAGGCCAAACTGATAGCAAATCCTGACCTAAACAAATGTAGTGTGCCAGTTAGCAGGCAAGACGGTAGCTTTTACTAGTGCTGCCAGTTGTGCTGTAGAAGACATAGAAGACACAGTGAATCACAAAGAACTGTGGGGGGTGGGGGAAATGTAAAGAGTAAAAAAATAACTGGAAACATAATTACTGCATGATCAAGAAACAAAAATATTTGTTTCTTGGGGAGAGGGGGGGAGACTACATGGCAAAACAAAACAACAGAAGGAAAAATTAGAATCACTTTATTAACATGGAATTAAGAGAAAATCAAAATTCAAAGTGCTTGTCTCAGAAGTGTGAAAAATACCCCAATACTTGTGTTAGTGGATGACAACTGAGGAGGCTTTGGAATTAATTGCTTTGAGTATACTGTTCTTTATGAGGTATAAAGTTTCCAAAACATGCAATGTGATAGCACTAAAAATTGTCTTGTGACAATGTTGTTCAAATGTAACTAAAATAAAAACAAGATGCAGTAGCAAAAGTTTTTCATCAGTCTTCTGTACATTGTTTGAAAAATGGCAGAATGCAGTAATAAAGATAACAAAGGCTGAGACATTAACTTAACTAATGAAACCTAAATGATATGAAGTTTCATTTGTTCATGTCAATCTTCTTTTAATGCTTTAAAGACAAATATTTATCACCATATATTATTTTTTTTTTTTTATGATTGCACCATTTTGCTTTCCAAACAAAAATAAAATTAAAAGACTCTTAAACCAAGCCACCCAACACAGACATTTTTTAGTTTGAATTGTTCTAAGATTTTAACATGGACTTTTTCTAAGTTGGAGTTAGTCTAAGATTTTTAAGTCAAATTTGAGACCAGAATAGTTTTATAGCTGAGCTATAACATCTTAAAAATGTTTGTCTGTAACAGAAATGATCACAGAGCCTGGAGTGTATTAGAACCTGTGAGTATAGCAATAATAAATACATATTGGTACTATCAAATAAATACATGTATGTTACAGCAGTTCTACTTTAGTAGTGTACTTTGAACTCAAAGTTTTGTTTGCTGGTGAATCTCTGGGCTTGTACATCTTTTCACTCATAATACAGAAGTTAAAAAGAAAGTCTGTAAAAGCAAAATTAATTGATTGTGAACATAAATATTTAACCAATATGGGAGGGTTTAATTCTAAAGATTCACAATGGAGAGGAAGAATGGATTGTTAGAAGAACAGGCATTACTATGGCAGGTGATTTGTTTCTATTTACCATTGCAAGCATTGATTTACCATAAAACGAGAGACTGATTTTATTTTTTGAATTAATCTTGTAGAAATGTGGTTGGTTTAACCATAAACAACTTCTAATGAGCAATGGTATTATATATTTGAAAAAAATAATAGAAAATAAAACTTGTAATATCAACTCACATTTTACCTTTGACCAGCATTATATCCAATGGCTTTTTAACTTTATAACAACACATATACAAAATAAATTTACTGGAATTCTTTTTTTAAATGTCTAATCAAACCAATAAATACTCATTTTGTGTCTAAGCTCAAAGATATTTATAGTTTACAAAGAGTATTAACTCTTGCAAATGGCAATAAATAAATAAATGCACACATACATAAAAACATAAAACATGGTAGAATTCTTTAAATGTCTTTCTTTGCAATTAAAAACTCAAACACTTGCTATAAGAAACCTCCATATGATAAAAGATGGTGACTGAGAAAATAGGAGCTTGAGAGAGGACTTTCAATAGGACAGCATACTCTAGCACTCTGTTCCAGCAGGAACTCTAAAAGCTTCTCTTTTCTTTAGAAAGTAATGACTCATCTGTGGTAAATATTCCACTTCCCCTGCCTGGAATATGAACAGTATTCTCTATCTGCAAGGAATTCTGACAGAAAAAATAAAAAAAAAGTCTCTTTTCTGAGATCTCAGAAGTGTATTACAGGACACATTCACATGTATGGCTGAGCAGCAACATAAGCAGGACCAGCTTCATCAGCTGTATGAACAAATGTAGAAATAATTCTTCACCTCTGGGAGTGAAGTAGGCCACAGTTCTTCATGGAATATATTTATACACAAACTTTCATACTGTTTATCTCCCAGGATCACCATAAGTAGCTTAATTCTGTCCACTGGATAGAGCTGGTCTCACTGGAAACAGCGTGGTACTAAACAGATATAGGTTGGAATTTTCTGATTTTTTCTTTTTTTTTTTTATTTGACAGAAAATTCCTCTGTAATTTGTCTAAATCTTCACAGTTTTACATGCATATTCATTAAATGAGTATCAGAAAATATTTTTGTACTGGATCTGGCTGGAATGGAGTTAACTTTCCTGACAGCAGTCCATACAGTGCTGTACTCTGCACTTGTAGACAGAACAGCACTGGTATCACACCAGTGTTGTGTCTATTGCATGAGGACTCCCTCCAACCCCTCCGAGAGCCAGCAGGCTAGGGATAGGTAAGAGGTGGGAAGGGGACTCCACCAGGGCAGCTGACTTAAACTAACCAAAAGGATATTCCATAACATATGATGTCATGCTCAGCAATAAAAGGGAAGGAGAGGGGAGGGACAGACTCCTGTTATGAAAATGTCTGTCTTCTCTCTCTGTGCTTTTCTTTTTCCTTTTCCTTTTAGTTAAATTATTTATTTTTCCCTTAATAATAATTTTACCTTTATAATTATTTTCCTTTAATTAAATTATCCTTATCTCAACCCATTATTTTTTTTTCTTTTCTTCTTCCCCTCCTCTTCTGATGAGGGGGAGTGAGAGACCAGTTGCTGTGGAGTTCAGCTGTTTAGCAAGGGCAAAGTACCACAGTTTTACAGATTCAGTATAGAATTTCTGGTCAAAATCAAGC